ATGGAACTGGTTCAGTTCAGATGAAAAGCATGGGCCGATGAAGGTTTACTCTAATGAAGAAGACGTTATCAGCAATGAAGAATTATAGGAAAGAATTGGCAAGTCAGCAGGGAAATAACTCATGAAATGCATCAGTACATACACAGGCTCAATGGACTTCTCTATAGTACTCTACCTGAAGATGAGTAAGAGTGCCTATAAGTATCTTGAGTTTCTGAATATAAGTATAGTCAATAGTATCATGCTTAATATCAGAATAATTGATTGCGATATGGCCCAACCTCAGAACAAAATAAAGGAGAGACAGCATACTAATCAATCCACATGGACATAACTCAAACATTACATTATTTATTATTATATATGTAAGTTTGCTACAGTGTACTACAACACTGTTGCATCCTTCAGTGTGTTATCTGAAGAATGGTTAAATAGATTTGAAGAAAAGTGTAGTCGCTTTCAGATAAATTTTGACAATAGGAGAAGAAGAAAAATAAATTTTATTCTGGGACTAAGTCCACTAGAATAACTTCAATGAACAATTTTCTGCCATTAGAAATAATTAGGAATAAATTAAATTACAAGGTTATCTAGATCTAAAATTAAAAACTAAAATAAAGAAAAGGCACTGGTAGATATATGAAATTATAGATAAATTCTGATGTGAAAGTTCACATATTTGTACAAATTAATAATGTGGATGATATATAATTATCTGTAGGATAACATTAAACGCTACAGACAGGTCGGAGAAACGTGAACATTATTTTACATATATTCGGAAGATTGATTGCTGAGGAGATGGATAGATAAATTATGTTTATATGAGGTCAAGGATGAGAATTTGTGTATGGAGGTTGGTAGGGAATTCCAAAACAATGTAGCATGTATGGCAAAGGGTTTTTTAAAGGATACAGTTCTTTGAGAAGGAATAAACGGGTTTGAGGGCTGGGATCTCATGTTGAACAAATGGACAGAGGAACAAGGAGTAAACAAATTGAGAAGGTAAGAGGATTTTTTGGTTGAAAAGGTTCGAAAAAGGAATACATCTAGGAAGTATTGCCGTCGGAAGACTGGATAGAGCCACTTCAACTAGGCATACCAACTGGAGACGTGAGAGCGCCTGGGGACTCCAAAGATAAATCTAATGAAACAATTCATTAGTCTCTTTAATCTGGTATCAAGCCCACCAGACACTCCATTGTATAAAATGCAGCTATAATCGAAACGAGGGAATGAATGAGTGAGGAAACTAGGAGCTGATGGATTTTAAGGGCATGGAATCACGGAATCTTAGGAACTTTTTGAAGATAGCAATAAATTTTCAGATTATTATGGAAATATGATTATTCCTGGGCAAATATTGATCAAACATTACCCCAAGGTTTCTAATGGAAGTGTGGAAACCGATAGGTAGGCCATTGAGGTAGAGTAGGGGATAATAAGGAATGGAATCAATCAGATGCTTGGAACCAATGAGAATGGCTTTGGTCTTCTCAACATTCAGCTTTAGGTCGTTGCAAACTGCCCAAGTGTTGATATTATCAATGTTTTCATGAAGCCTTCGGATCGCCTCAAGCATCTTAGTAGGATGAAAGGGAAGGTATATTTGGAGGTCATCAGCGTATAAGTGATATTGTGAATGATGAATGGAATCAGGAAAGTCGTTGATGTAGATATACAAACGAGTTGGAGAGAGCGAAGATCCCTAAGAAACATCGCGGGATAGTAAGAGGGGTCAGGAATGAGTTTTATTAGGTATGATGATTGTTTGGGATCTTTGATACAAGGAGAAATAGAACCACTTTAGTGCACTATTTGATATGGAAAGGTTTGGAGAGGACGATTTCATGATTGACTGAATCGAATGCTTTTGAGAATTCAAAGAGGACCAGGATAGTGATTTTTTGTTTGTCTATGGAGAAATGAAGGTCTTGAGTAATTTTCAACAAAGCAGACTGGGTGGAGAACCGGGATCGGAAACCAGACTGGAGGGGATTGAGGAGAGCTTTTTGTCCTAGGAAGGTGTTAAGCTGTAAGTGGAAAATTCTTTCAAGAGGTTTTGAGAGGTTGGAGAGCATAGGGATGGGTCTGAAATCGGAAACTTTGGAGGGAAGTGGAACTTTGTTCAACGGGCAGACAATAACTTTTTTCCAGACTGATGGGAAACTGGAATTTTGTAAGGAAAAATTGTAGATATGCAGTAGGATAGGAAAGATGGCAGGGAGACATAGTTTGATTAAATTTAAAGGAATTAGATCCAGGCCATAGTCATTTGTTCTGGATTTTAGGATAGAGGAAAGTAGTTCTTCTGGTGGAATAATTGGACAATAGTTAAATTCAAGCTTTGAATTTTTTTGTCTTCGGCCCAGCAAAAGATTGGTTTGTAATAAATCTGAAGAAAATGGGTATAGATGTTCATTGGGAAAGTTGGAAGAAGTCATTCTTGGACATTTTTGTTGATAAAGGATGGAAGGTTGTCAGGAAAGCTTTCAACTACAAATATTTGGGGGGTCTTTTAATTGATTATGCCCTTGTAAAGGAAAGGTTATGCCTTGAAGTTCAACCTGAGTGTTGAATTTACATCAAACAATTTTGTATAAATATATATTATTTGATCATCATATTCTTATTTGGGTTGTATAAATAACACGGGGAACATCCGGTCTCATCTTGTCCTACCTCCTCTCTAAGACGGCCTTATCTACGGCCAAAAGTCAGATGCTAGCGGACGAAGTGAAGAACCGCACGGCTTACGGCCTACCTGATAATCAGACCTCAAGAATTACAGCCCTTCGGCTACACCAGCTCCAAGACTTTAGGCGAACGGCGGATAGAGAGAGAAGGCGCGAGACCGGCCCCCTCATCAAACTTTACGTAATCATTTTATTCATTCACAAGTATTCCTCCACAGAACATTTCTTTTTATATATCACAAGAACAGGGCTCCCGGTCATATAGCATGTACCGGGCCCCCAATATTGTACATATGGTACCCCGGCTGTGGAATACTTGTGAATAAAAATACTGTAAACATACGCCCATCGTTTCAATAATTTAATTTGTTTAATGCTCCTTTTAATTCTCGGTTACCTTTTTTAAGTTGAATAATTAATGGCTTTCAATATTAACGCCAATGTTGCTATTAATTAACTTAAATATTAAACAGCCAGCAGGTGAATCTGTCTCTAATGCCATTTGAAGCAACATTTACGGCTGCCTAATCCCAGTGAGCAAAAAAGTTGTGCTTACTTCCGCCGATGCATCTAATGTTTCCTTTTGTTCGTATTTAAGTCTCCAGCATCCAAGTAATTCAGATCTCGCCATATAGTTTATGAGTATTACATTGTTTCAGCTAGCAGCTTAAATGTATTTCGTGTGATCAGGTTTAAAAAAAAAAAAAATTATATTGCTTCATATACGTGCAGAATATTGCAACACAACTGTTCTTATTAAAGTTGTTGCATCATTATTAAAATAATTATATAAACGATTTTACTAGAACTTATTTATATTTATTTGATTGTTGATATATTTTTCATATATTTATTACTGTTTATTGTGTGCATGTTTTTGTATTTATTTCATATTGTAGATTTTCATATATATATATATATATATATATATATATATATTATATATATATATATATATATATATATATATATATATATATATATATATATATTTATGAACTTAATCCTTGTGCATGTTTGATTTATTGTTACAAATATTTATTAAGTTGTATATATTTCATTAGTTTATATGCATAAATATTTATTAAATTATTTATCTATCATTAATTTATATGCATGAATATTTATTTAGTGGTATTCTATTTCGTCATATGATAATTTATCGTACCTTACATTTGCATCTAAATCTTTAAATTTTTCGTTCTCTCAAAACTTTCTTACAGAAATTTAAATCAGGCAAATTTCGAAGTTTTGCACAACACGTTTAAAATTTTACGATTTTTAAAAAATATATTCAGTATTTATCTTTTCAAATTATAAATTCATTCGGAACCATGAGTGGTGGTAACGAACAGGTTAGCGATTTTTCTGGTCACGGTGACCCGCTTGAGCGTAAGCTTCGCCATCTCAAGCGCGGTCTCAACAAATTATTTACCAAGCCGCGGATATCGGCGGTGGAGACTTCTTCGAATGCGAAGTAATTTATGAGGAGGCAAAACTAATGTGGGATAAATTCGAAATTCTATGGAAGGAGTTGGATGCTCTCTACACGTCCCGGGGTGCTTCAGCCTACCCGCCTGACTGGGAAACGGGCTATGTCGCCATTCAGGGAGAAGTACGGAAAATAGAGGCGGGATATCGGAGGTTAAGCTCGCATCGCGCCGCGGTTGATAATAACGCCAAGTCTGGCTCAACCCCCTCGGTTTATCCGCCTCAACTTCCGATCATAGAGATACCGGTTTTTAACGGGGATTTGTCGATGTGGACGCGGTTTCCTGACACCTACGTGTCCCTAATCCACGATAATACCCATTTGACGCCGATAAGTAAAATGCATTACTTGAAAAATGCGCTTATTGGCGAGCTGGCATCGCTTCTCTCGGCATTTTCATTCGATTCCGGTTTTGAACTGTTCAAAAAAAGTTGTATAGAACCACTTTTGATAGGAAATTGAATCTTTTGGGAAGATCTAACTGGTTTTGAAACAAATACATCTAAATTTATAAAAATAAACATTTAACACTTGTGAAAAATAATTTTTTTTTTTTTTTTAAATAAATCTATGTAATCTCTTTTGAAACCAACCGCCTCTTGTGAAACAGTAGTATTTACAGTTAAAAAACTAGAAGAACTAAGAAAAAAATGGTGAAAATCTGAAAAACCGGGAAATGTACAGGAATGTTTTGGAGGAGAATTGCTGGACACCCTGTATTAGAACTAGGCTTCCCTTTCATAAAAGTTGACAAAAATAATCTGTGACTAATATATATTTATTAATATTTGTTTCTGTTTTCTTTTCAATAGATAGTGATCATAAAATGGACAGTTTCGGTGACAACTTTGATGAAAATGAAGTTGACCCTGCTGCGGAGTTTTTAGCTAGGGAGCAGTCTGAGTTGGCTGCCCTTGATGATGAGTTAAAACAAGTGGTGGCGCCTCCTGTAAATGGTGATTTTATTTTAATTTTCAATCTTTATATTATAAGATTAGGCCGTGATAGCTGAGAGTGTTAAGATGTCATAATCTTAGCAAACTCATGGCTAGCGGCAATGGTTCTAATCCAGTATGGGCAGGTTAAAGTGTTTTTTTGGTGGACCCATGGAATGAATCTTGACCTCCTCACTCTGGTTAGATGTTTATTACCTGTTGGATAAACCTGTAAAGGGAATTTATTTTTTATTAATATGAATTCATACAATTGAGTTATTTAGATACCAATGGAATTGCGGAAATATTAGTTAACTTTTTTTTAGAAGATGTGGGCTAAGGCATTTATTTTTTCTTCATAGAAAAGTTGGGCTATATCCACTTGCCTGCAACAGTCACTGAAACTAATGACACATACTGTGTAATTACCCAGTGAGCACAAATGATTGGCCCAACGTTTCGAAATGGTTTTCACTTTCGATTGGGCAACGGTTAGAATTGGTCGCAGGTACAACTGCTGGCCAACAACCATTCTCCAACGATGGCCCACATACTTTTAACAACAATGGGCAAACAAATTTTTCTTTCCACCTAACCATCTGCCAACTAAAATTATTTACTAGCATTACTATTGTTATATTTTGTGCACAATAAATAATATATTATTTACTGTGCAGGTGCCTCTTCAATAAGATAGGGAATCAAATGAGCAACACATACTACACCTTAAATCATTATATAAATTTTTTCATAATAAATAAATAAATAGATAAATTTACTGTGCAAATTCACAGTAACAAAATTCTTATAGGGCTGTTTTCTAAGTGTCTATGATGTAAAAAACATTATTTTGGATACTAAATCCTTATAATTAAAACCATCATTAGAAATGATTATGATAAATTTTAAATATAAAATATATATATTACATAATCTTAATTGGTAACAAAAATTAACTGAAAAAAAAAAATAAAATTAACTACAAATGATTTATACCATTTCTACCAACAGTGCAAACAATTTTAACAAAAGATGACTGAATACCTACCAACCCTCAATTAATAAGATAATTTTTAATTATTGAACTTTACTTCTCTCTTCTCTTCCACCTTCTCTGACTGGTTGTTCTAAACCAGAACCAATTTAAAACAGCAGATTGTATTTCTATGTCTGAAGTATTGGATGGATGAAAAATAGTCAGGTTATGCAGTCAATAATGGTTTATGTTAAGTTTGCTTAATAAAATCAATCTTAATAAACAAGATTATTGACTGCATATCCTGAGTATTTTTCATTCTTACAATTTGTAATGTTGGATGTTCTATCATTTTAACGGACTGCTCCTACAAAATCAAACAAAACAAATTAAGTAAAACGGAAAAATAAATCTTTTAGATATAAAAATGTCAAATAAATAATACTAACTGTAATAAAAAAGTATAAAGTATTGTAGTATATTTATGCTTAAGTTGAATTACTTGATTTTCGCAATGGAATAGAACATCTGTTATACTGATCTCAAGAATCGCTAATAAAAAATATAATTTTGGAAGTCAGAAGGTTCAAATTTCATACGAAAATGACACAAGGAAAATAGCTATTTTCCACCATATTTTTATTTCATCATGATGTATGCAAGCACAACCACACAAAGACCACATTTAAACTGCCCAATTACAACTGTAAGACACAATTGTATCAACTATGGATATCATTTAGATGAATAGAACTAGAGCAAAAGTTACAGTTAGGAATAGTGTTCTAGTAAACTATTTACTACCTAATGATATGGTTCATTCTAGGTGAGACATATAGATAACCAGTGAACATAAACTGTTGGCATAAGTCGAAAAGAATTATTGAACAAACTAATTTATGGAGCATACATAAATATAAGAAATTAACTATCAATCTTGAGGAAATTAATAAACAAAATAAAAATGATAATAGTATTACTGATAATAGTGACTGAAAATGAAATAGAATATATGTTACATATTTCCAGATTATTATTATAACTGACATCCTCAGTACTAGTACTTCCAAACAGGTGCTAATATTAAATCAACACGAGTCATAAAATCAATAAGAAATAATCTGTTATTGAATAGATATTTACCTAGTATTAAATTAATGTGAGATGTATTAACAGATCATAATGAAAAAACACAACAGGGGAAACAGTAGTGTAGCCTGAAATTGCAACCAATAAAATAATGCATCAATTAATTTTGTACACCTACTATCTTAAATTCAGATTTCGTAATGATTCTTTTAAGTCCAATCATATAATATAACCGATTTGTTTGAGGAGAGTTTTGTAAGAATTCTGTGGATAGTCTTGTTGATGTTACTTTCCCCAACAAGTCAAAGATTACTTTCCTAATATAAAACACAAATAACCACATCTCTAAAAATAATAAACCACACAAAATCTGAAATATTTTTTATATGTATTCATAACTTTAGCAAATGAAAATTCACTGACATAGTACAACTAAAAAATAAATAAATAATTAAATTCATAATTAGATGAGACAATGAATGCAAAAGTGGTGGTGTTACTTTCATAATAAATAATTACTGAATCTATTAATTTAATGTTTTTAAATAATTGGTTATACTTGAGATTGACTATTTTAAAAAGGCAAAATAAGTTGTCATTCCTTGCCAAGAAATACCTATCATTATCTTAGTAGAACTTCCCTAAAGTGTTGGATGTTTCAGAACTTCAGTTTTTGTCTTAAGGTGGTAGGTGTCACACGATGGCCTAAACGTTAGCGTGAATGTTCATAACAAAACCTTGAATGGTTCCGCAAGTGTGATGTGAATGGTTCGCGCAATATGAGATGAATATTGGATTTTTATAAATATAGATGTTACTGATTTCAACGCAAATTTAAAAGTTTATTATAATTAAACTACAAATTATTATTATAAGTAAACAGGTACTTGTTTTGTCAGTGCTCTAACATTTAATTAATAATTATTATATATACTTCATTATCAAGATTTAAAATTGATAATTAGTACTCCTACAAAAACAAAAAAAAAATCAAATTAGTAAATAATTTGATGAATTTTCCCTTTGCAAAATCACAAAATTATCTTGTCTTCCTCTAAAGTACTTTTATCTCTACCTCTAAAGTATCTCTCTCTACCAAATTCAACCAACACCTAAAACATCTTCTCGATACTAAACAAATTAAAATTCCTACCTAGAGAAATCTCATCCCTTATAATTCCACTGCTCCCCGGTGCTACGGCTTACCGAGAATCCATAAACCAGACAATCCTCTCCGACTTATTATTTCCAACATTAACTCTCCATCTTCTAAACTCAGTAAATTTCTTCTCCCTACCATCCAGTCTCTCAGTCTAAACAATCCATATGACATTAAAAATTCCTTCCACCTATTAGATCAACTAAAATCCTTGAACACAATACCAAATTTCATTTTGGCCTCTTTGGATGCAGAAAATCTCTTCACCAATATTCCCACAGACTGTGCGCTTCAAATAATTGAAGAAAATTGTTCCGCCATAGAACCACACACTTCCCTCAATCAATCCTCATTCCTTCAGTCCCTCTCTCTGTGTTGTAACTCCGGCTACTTATGTGTTCAAAACAAATTTTTTCATCAAACTTCCAGCTTGGCGATGAGTAATTGCCTTGCCCCAGACCTCTCTAGTATTGTTCTTAACAACCTAATTGATTCGATACTACCTAAATTTGTCAATGATATTTTTTTCATTAAAAAATATGTTGACGACCTTTTATTAATCCTCAATCCCCATGCTATTCCAAACATACTTTCTGCATTTAACTCATTTCACCCTCGACTCTATTTTACCATTGAAATACAATCAAATAATTCCCTCCCATTTCTTGATCTCCTCATTTCCAGAAATAATGATAATACCTTATCCACCAATTGGTACACCAAACCTACCTACTCCGGCCGTCTCCTAAACCATTTTTCTCATCATCCTTACCACCAAAAAATCAATGTAGCTAAAAACCTGATATACCGCAGTCTAACATTAACCGATCCTCAATTCCACGACAATAACCTAACCAAACTACACAAGATCCCGAAATCCAACGCCTTTCCTGATCGCATTATAAAAAACCTAATTAAAAATGAATCCAAACCTCATCTTCACCAGTCTTCCACAAACTGCTCTCAATCTCCCACCACGATTCGCCAATACAGATCCATTCCATACATCCCAGTCCTATCTCAAAAAATCAAAAAAGCTTTAACTTCCAAATTCTCCCATCTACAAATAGTTTTCAAAAATAACAGTAAACTAAGAAATCTATACACTAAACTCAAAGTTCCTGTTCCGCTCCTATAACAATCAAATATTGTATACCATATCACATGCTCTAGCCCAAACTGCAATTCTTCTTATATAGGAGAAACCAAAAACTATTTTAAAAAACGAATATATCAACACAAATACAGCATCTCCACACGAAACCCGTTCGCCTCGAAACTTGCTGACCACGCCATAACCCTCAACCACACATTTAATTTTCAAAACCCAACCATACTTGCCACAGTTTCCAATCACAAAAAATGACTACTTTCTAAAGCTATATTCATCAATTTGGAAAAAAATAACCCGGTAAACCACAAAGTAGACAAAGAAAAGATCTGCAACAAATATTCAAATATTTTCCGCCTCCTAAAACAATAGACTACAATAATTAAAATTTTGTTTTTCATTTTCCCGTCAACTTACATCGGTAATTACTCCTACGTTTATTACATATATATATACATATAATGACAAATAACAATATAAATATATACCATAAACAGACACAGATATGTTTATAGTCATACTATTAAAACTATGTAATCCTTAATATAATACATACTTCTATTATGATTAATATTGTTATTTTCAAAATACTGTATAATATATTGTCCTACGTATGTTTTCAATCCATTACAATTGTCTTTATTATAAATATTATTTGGCTAACCATTGTATACCTTTAATCAAACAATGTTATATTTATATTGATTATGTTGATTATGCACCTCTTAATTATGTTCATTTCATTACTAGCCAATATTCACAATTTTGTAACCATAAGAAACAACGTAAATCTTGTATATACCTAAAATATTTAGTCAGCAAATTATTAACATTCTACAAACAGAAATGTTACCTCCCTCCCCCTCTGACTATGTTTACCTACCTTTTACTATCTGAAAAAGGACAACTGGGAAATCCTCTCCCCGACCTTTCCACTTACCTACCAAATCAGTCAGTACTTTAAAGCCTTCAGTGCTCGAAACACGGTTAGTAAGAGAAAATATTACAAATTTTTATAAATAGATTATATATATTATTTTTAGTTTGTATAACTTTTTACATATTTAATTTTTAATATTGTGTATTGTAATAATAGTTAAGATTCATGTACCAGCAATCACTATAGTTTATTATTTACCATTATCGGTCGTATAATATATCTCAGATTGTATTTTAAAATTTTCATCCCTGAAGATGACCCACATGTTTGGGTTGGAAAGTTGGCATAAATAAAAAAAAATTTTTTAAAAAAAAGACTGCGTCCTGAATATGTATCACCTATGATATGTAGAATAGTCGACTAACTTCTTTCTCTAATATAGAAAATTGTAGAAGGTAACGGAGAATGGCTAAAAAAATATAAATAATAATTTCTAAAAACTAACATTATTTAAAGCAAATCACGTGTTTTGAAGGAAATTAAATGAAATTTTCTTAATAAATGTAAACTTTTAACATTTTTTTTTAGTTTGAAAAAATATTTAAAATCCAGAGATTTAAGGCAATGACACTGTTTAAGATACTATTTCATTGTACTTGTGTAAAAGAAGGTATGAAGTATGAAAATATTTCATGGATATGTTTATAACTTTAAATATATTTACTGTATTTTGTTAGGGTTCTCGAATAACTCTAGATGTGATATTATATTTAAATAATTAAGTATCTGTGGTCCATTTATTCTGAAAAATCATCATGTAACCTTTTAGAAAATTAAATTAGTGAATAATTTGAGTTTATTTACTTATGTTATATGTAAATTTTAGGTACTGATCCTGATATGAGTGAAATTACTGGAAGTTTTGAAATGATAAATGGACTTGGGCAACCTGACCGCTTTGATCTTCCTCAGACTAATGGTAAGCTTTATTCTTTTGGTTTTGTTAAATAAAATGAATTCTTCATTTGTTCAAGCTCATCATCGAAATGTTTTGTTTTTTACTTATTAATAAGTTATTTAATATTGTCTTAAACATATTTTATTGAATGCTTAGACTATGGTGTCTAGTGGACAGATTGAGAACCGGCCAGTAGGTTCTCTGATCCGCTTAATTGTCTGTTGCCTGAATTAATCTCTTTCTTTTTTTATATTCTTCTACCTATTCCTGTCAAGAACATTGTTACATGGAAAAATATATACATTTCAAGAAAAAAAAATTATTTTTTCAAAAACTTTATTAGAAAATAATATGTTTATCTATAGAGAGTAAAACAAAAAAGAAATTACTCAAAATTTCCTCCTTTTGCTTTGACACAGTCATTTAATACCCGTGGCCAGTCTTTCTTGAGGAAACAATCAACTGCTCGGACCAGAGATTGTTTGAGGCTTTCCAAGTTAGGGTGTGGTCTGTGGCATGCCATCCTCTCCAGTTAGGACAAATGCCGATAATCTAGTGGGTTGAGATCAGGCCTTCCTGAAGGCCAGTCCGAGGCTAAGATGAACATGGGAATGGGCTTCTTTAGAGCTGTGTGCGTGCCCACGATCATTTTGGCGATTAAATTTTTCTTCAATTGTAAAAATTTTCTCATCACTAAATAAAATTTTTCAATGAAGGCCATTGGTGTAACGGCCAAGGAGCACTTTGTATCTATCCACTCTAATTTTTTTTAGAGAAGTGGTTAGCCTTTGTCCTGTCATTCTTCAAATTTCACCCATCCTAAGGTCACTTTTTATTATGCGAGACATTGATCTGGCAGAGATTCTCATTTCCCGAGACATGATCTGTTGTTTTCGAATGGAATTTCTTCTGATTTGAGCAGCCACTGCTCTCACTGTATTTGCTGTTCTCACAGTGCTGGGACGACCCGGTCGAGGTCTGTCACATACAGATAGGGTCTCATTATATCTATTTATAGTACGGTACACGAACATACAGCTGATACCCAAAGGTTTCAAAATGTTGAAAATCTCTGGTAAATGGCATATACTTCTCTCTGTTCTGGAACTTTAGACCAATGTGTAGTTGACATTAACATGATAGGACACTATTATAAAAATATTTGACTATCTGTCCTTCATGACCTATGTTCTGATGTGGTCATTGGCCATGATATACTCAAGCAGCACAGAAGTGTGAACCTGTTCTTTGGCACCCCCAAAGCAACGCTCACTGTATTACTTTCACTTACTTATATATGCAATATATAACAAGGGTAAGTTTTGCGATCGTGAAAATTTTCGATTTGAGTTTTCTACTAGTGTTGCCCAAACTCAAGACCAAGACCAAGACCGCCTCAGTCTCATCTTGATCTTGCATCAACGAACCTTGGTCTTGGTCTTGCACACTTATTCATGGTCTTGGTCTTGATCTTGCCCGCTTAGTCTTGGTCTTGTGCAAGAGTCTTGCAGTTAACTATTAGCTTATTGCTATTTATTAATATGGTATTTTAAATTTGAGAAAAACGCTACAAAATAACTACAATTAGATGTTTTATAGACATAAACATTGTAAAGTACAACTAAATCAATAAAATTAAGAATAAAGAAAGATAGTGATAACCCTCCTTACTTTATATACATATTTACAGTAGTAACTGTTTACAATTTTATGAGGGCTGGATGGATTAGAAATGATTAAACAGTCAGGATTTAAAGGTAGGAAGAGTTTTGGATTGACGGATGTGGGGAGGGATGGAGTTCCATAGGGTTGAGGATCGAATAATAAAAGATTTATCAAAAGCAGCGGTTCGGTGGGCCATTATATATAAATCTGAAGACCGGGAACACGTATTGTGGGAGTGGAAAGAGGATTTAAATTGAAGGAGCTTGGAGATGTATGAAGGACGGCGGGAGTGAATTACTTGGAAGAGGAAGGATGCCAGGAAATACTTCTACCGTGCAGCAATAGTCGAAGTGGGGAAATATTAAGGAGGTGACCAGGAGTCTACGGATTTCAAAAGGAAAAAGATGTCGCAGGCTATTTAAGTGTTTTAGAGTGGAAAAGGTACGTCGGGAGATATTGGATACATGGTTTTTCAGTTCAGGTTGACCACAAAATCTGGTTCGCATCACACAACTTATACTTACTAACCTCTTCTTAGCAGAAATAAGTACTTTCAGACAAAGGCTAGGTGAAAGTAAAAATTATTGACGCTATATAATAACTCGTTCAATCAAGACCTCAATTGTGTGCTCTCGCTAAATATATCAATATAATAGTTATTATAGACATTACTGTTAAATTAAAAAAAAAAAAAAACACTGATATTTAGTACTGTTTATAAAAAATTGTATAATGAGAAAATTAAGTCTTATCTTACTTAATATTATAGTAAATATTAATAAAACCAAGTGTCTGTGACAAAGAAGGCGGAGTTGGAGTGGTGGGGAACAGCTTATCAGGCATCACCTAAATCCCAGCAGCCTACACACAAACAAACAGGTATGCTAATAATATTATTGTTTTTATTCAGCTCTCTCTATTTGAACTATGATAATTTAAATTAATAGAAATTGTCATTAAAATGGTGAATTGCAAAACGTGGGGTAAATCAGTAGCCTGAGAAGATAAGGCTAAATTAGCCTGTACTTTATGTACAAATTTATTCCATGCTAAATGCATGAAAATTGATATCTCAGACTCAGAAGACTTTAAGGAAATCAGTAAAAAATGGATATGCACCGATTGTCAATCGGGTGCATTACCAGCATCTGAACATAGTACAATGATCACACTACTGAGGGGCCTGGCCGAGGAGGTTAGAGAGATGAAAACCAAGCTTCAGGGCATCGAAGAATTAAAGGACATAAAAGACACCCTCAATAAACAGTCAGAACTGCCATTTAACGGTCACTGCCAGAACGGTCACTAAAAATAGAAACTCTTCTGGAAGAGCAGAAAAAACATGTAGAGAAATTATCCCTCGAAAACAACACACTAAAGAAGAAAATATCAGATCTAGAAAGCCGCTTAAATTTTACTGAGCAAAATCAGTTGAAGAACACTATAGAAATTAGAGGAATTCCAGAGAAGCCGAGCGAAACCATGACTGGCACCATCCTCAGTGTCGGAGCGGGTCTGGGGGTCAAATTGAATCCAGACAATCTGGATCACGTAATGCTCAATCCCATAATGCCCACTTTGATGAATTCCAAAAGTATTTCCTCGATAATTTTTACCACACAATAGCAGTATCTGAAACCTTTTATTCCTTCCTCCCAAATTTCCCTCCCTAATTACTCTTTCCTATGCCATGACAGATCTGATCGCACGGCAGGTGGTGTCGGACTATATGTACATGATAGTCTTAAGGCCAAAATCCTTTTACAGTCGCTCTCTCATGACTATGTTTGTTGAAATTTCCCCTGTTTCCTAACCTTTATTATATGTTGTAGTCTACCGCCCTCCTCGTTTACCATTCGACCATATTTTTGAATCCTCCCTTGTCAATCTGGTTTCCAACTACTCTAATGTCATCATCTCCGGCGATTTTAATGTAAATATGCTCCAGAATCTCCGGAAAAATACTTCCTCGCCGACCTAATATTTTCTCTCAATCTATATCTTGTTCCTTATTCTCCCACTCATCACATGCAGTTCTCTGACACCTGGTTAGAACTCCACATCTCTAACTCACCCCTTAAAATTCTTTTCTTCTCTCAACACCCCATACCCTTTCTATCATCACACGACCTGATCCAAATTTCATACGACCTACCCGTGAAATCATTCACTCCCAAAATAGTGTCACATTGCAATTTAAACCTCCTTTCATATGAATCCTTTTAACCTGAGCTTGATTCTGCCCAATGGGATACCATATTTTCCTATACCTCCATGATACCCTATGATATCCAGCCTTACCTCAAACCTACAATCCATATTAGATATCCATGCTCCTCTGAAAACCAGAATCTTACGTCGTCCCATTGTTCCTTGGCTGACTCCTGAAATAAAGGAAATAATAAAGAGAAGGAATGCAGCAAGGCGCAAATACCGTCAAACCCATTTACCTACTGATTATGTGTCTTTCAAACAACTTCTCAGTGCAACCCAATCCACAATCCGACTTTCTAAATCCAACTACTTTCATAATGCCCTTTCCAATGCTCCCGATTCCAAATCAAAGTGGAAAATACTTCGTAATCTATCCCTACCAGATTCTAATCATCTCATTTCCCTCCCTGTTACTCCAGATGATCTTAATGACCATTTCTTATCATTTGCTTCTAATCCTTCTCCTACTCATGATATTGAACACCAAAATTTCAATCCTGAAAACTTCTTTTTTTCCCATGTGTCCTACGACGAAGTACTTTCCAGTATCCGAAAATCCCACACCAATGATTATGGTCCTGACAACATTCCAGTAAAACTTATAAAATCCAGCCTTCCTACCCTTATTCCAGTACTTTATCATATCTACAACTTTTCATTGCAAAACTCCATCTTCCCCTCTTCCTGGAAAACTGCACTAGTCCGACCTTTGAATAAATCTTCTAACTCTTCCTCACTGAACGACTTCCGTCCTATTTCTTTTCTTTCCAACCTCTCAAAACCACTGGAACGCCTTGTCCAAAACCAACTTTCCAACTTCCTAGAAGAACGTTCCCTCATCCATCCATTCCAATCTGGCTTTCGACCAGGCTATTTAACGCAATCTGCCCCCCTTAAATAACCCATGACCTCCAAAACTCCATTGAATACCAAAACACCTCATCCTTCTAGATGTTTCCAAAGCGGTTGATACAGTTGACCATAAAATCCTTCTTACCAAATTGCAAAATTTTCCTCTATCGAACAGTGTCCTGCATTGGTTCAAATCCTTCCTTTCCGATCGATCCCAATATGTAGTTGTCCCAGATCAACCTCCTTCAAAGACACTTCAGACATAATATGATTCATTTCCGGGAAGTACATAAAATTAGCTAACCTATAAAATTCAATAAATATACTGAAAATATAATTTTTATAGTAGGTCTTAAATGTCCTATGGGTGATAAATGTTCAGGACGCAGTCTTCTTAAATTTTTTTATTCATACCAACATTTCAACCCAAACATGTGCGTCATCTTCAGGGTGTGGTTTGAGCACTGTTTCCAAGTTCAAGTACTCGGACACCCACAGTGCTCAAACCAGAAAAACAGTACTTGAACATCCTCAGTGCTCAAACCACGCCCTGAAGATGACCCACATTTTTGGGTCGAAACGTTGGCATAAATGAAAAAAATTAAAAAGACTGCGTCCTAAATATTTATCACCCATGATATAGAACAGTCGACTAACTTCCTTCAAGAATTCTTAAATGTCCTAGAATATAAGAATGTAGGAAGTTATAAAAAAAAAATGTTTTGGACAAAGAAATGATTTCATTAATATTTGTACATTAATACAATCAAAATAATTTATTGCATTTTCTAAAGAACTGTTTCAAATGTTTTAAAAATTAATCAGTGATTTAGAAAGAGAAATGTATTCTCTAGATTTTTTATTTCAAGGAGTTTTTCGTTATTGTTTGCTATTTTTTATTACCAAGAGAAATTTTTCTTTCTAACTTTTTGATGTTTTATTATTCTCTGATTATTCAGCTTTAATAAAAATCCAATTATGATGAAATTAAGCCAACTGCTGAATCTCAAGTCTAAGACGTCAATCCCCCCATGTTTGGATGCCATTTTAGGACTTTTTTTTTGTGGAAACATTGGTTTTTTTTATTTAATAAATAGTTACAAGGAACACAATGATGTGCAATTTATAGGGATGTGGGAGAGTTGAGGGGGTTGCACTGTAGGGGGGTCTGGCCCGCGGACTATGCATGATAATTACAGTAATTGATTATTTCTGGTTATTAATACCTTAAGAAATATTTTTTTATATTTCCTTAAATAAAGTAAATGTCAGTGATCTCTATTTATAAATATTTTCTCTTATATAATTATATAAATACACCTATGATAAGTATTTATTTGGAATAAAAGTTTCGTGATTTAGTATATAGCTTACTTATCTTGTTCACTTTTTCTTTCTAGATGTCAGAAATTTAAGCCCGACACCCATGAAGCAGGCTCCGAGAGAAGAACCAGAAAAAATTAAGAAATGGAGAGAGCAACAAAAATTATTATTAGAAGAAAAGGGTATTCATTCATGATTTTTTTTTCCAATTTTCAAATATATTGTAAACTCTTCAAGGTCTGCTATTTATAACAGGGCTCTAATCAGTTATTGAACTTAAAAGTTTCAGTTTACTGTTTTACAAACATTTTTACAGTTTAAGTTTTAACATACAAGTTTAATAAGAACACATATTAAAAGCAATTTCTTGAATAAAATTTTTCAAAACTTCCATCAAAACAAATATTTGATAGATGTTCTGTTTTTGTAAGTTCTTGCAAAATTGTTTTATATAAGTTCTTTGGGCCAGTTTTACAATTAGAGTTCAACCTTGAACTACAGTCAGATATGTAAATCCAGTTGTACAAATGAAGGTTATTATTTGAACCTAGCTCAAGGTGAACCAGCCAAGAGGCTCAGTCAAGTCAAGTTCAACTGAACTCAATACTAGGGATGGACCAGTGTCGAAATTTTAGCTGAAATTTGGCTTGAAAAGTTTCATATAAAATTTCCTACTTATTGCTAAATAAAAGAATAAATCTACACATCTGCCTATGTACAAATTTTGACAAATAAATGAGCGATAAACCTATATTTCAACATATTGGCCTTTCGTTCCAAATATAATATCTAGTTCTGTAGAATGTCACATAGAAAATTCTCTTTATATGCCTTCCCCCCTTGGTTTTTGCCACTTAAAGAGGTAGGGAGCAAGTCCCACCTTTACCATTTGATTTATGGCTTGGTCGGTGCATTCATTAGTCCTCTGTACCTGACTCAGTGTGGTTGTTCGGGATTCTGACCATTTGGAAGCTACCAGTTGCAGATTTATTCTGAACACAAGGTATGTCCTTTCTCTGTTATTTGTGTCATATACATGATGTTATTTATATTCTATTTAAATTTTTTATACATCAAATAAATGTTAATAAGTTTATATTTTTTTCTTTTTTGTTTTAATTTAGGATTTGACTGAATGCTGATTTTGGTACACATTGGTACACATTTGTCTACTAAACAAATAACTGTTAAGTTTCCTACATTATATATACATGATCACGGTAATTTATTGTGAGACAAATATTACCCATTGATCTATAAGTGTGTAATAGTGTACTGGTAAATGTATCAATTGGTGTTGACTGTATGGGGTTTGGATCACTGAAATTAAATATATATATAAATTCAATAATTGATTATAGAAATAGAAAATAAACTTTATTCTAAGACGAGGTTCCTTAAGAATAAAAATTATAAACAAAAAGTAAAAGCACAACTGGCCAAAAATTACATTAATCAAAATTAAAGAATATATATACTATATCTTCAGTGAAAATATATTAAAACAAATAAAAAAAAGTAAAACCATTTTGGAAAAAAAAACATTATTGAAATGAAAAGAAAAACAGAAATCAGAGGAAATAAAAAACAAAATGATATAAGCACTATAGGTTGATTCTTAAAATTAAAACTCAAACAATTTCAACAACCATTCACCTCAGTCAAAATTTGATTCATAATATTTATTTCATTGTGCAATGTCATTTTGGAATATGAGAAGGAATCGGTAGAGATGATATTTGAATGAGGACAAGGAAGAGGCATGGCAGATGTCAGATGGCAAACAATTCCAGAAGGCAGTGGATCGGGCAATAGAGGAATATTCAAATGTCTTAGTTCTATGGGAAGGGGTATAAAGATCGGAAACACGGGATCTTGTTTTCTGGGAGTGGATCACGGGTTTGAACTGTAGGAGACTGTAGATGTAGGAAGGGTGTTGGATGTTGATCATTTGGAATTGGAAAGATCCAAAGAAATATTGTCAACAGTAAGAAGGGAAGAGCCACTTTAACTCATTGTAAAGCTGGGACGCATACAACCGCCTCTAAGTATCAAAGACAAATCTTAAGCAGGAGTTCATAAGTCGCCTTCATACACCACACAGCCATACTCAAAGTGGGGGAAAATAAGAGAGAATACAAGGAGCTTGCGGATAGGTTGTGGTAGTAGGTGACGGGAGCGATAAAATAACTAAAGGGTACCTATTGACTTTGTATATACATTTGATTATTGATTGACAGGGACTATTGATTATATTGTATTTATATATTGTATATAATGGATATAACAAAAAAATAAATTTTTTTTTTTTTTTTTCCTATCCCATAGTCATTGGTCATTCAACCATCCGACATCTTGCTGCCCAATATAATTTTGATTTTTGCATGTAAATAAAAAATTTTGTACTTAATGCTATTTTGTTAATCTTGGAAAATTATGTATTTTTTTTTTTGTTTTTGAGGTGAATAGTTGCTCTGGGCCATGAAGGCCTATTGTACGCCTCTATTGAAGTCACTCCTATTTAGAGTGTAATTCCTGCAGTCTCGGTGAACTGTAGTAAGCTTGTTGGGTTGATGAGCTCGTTTGCCTAGGGATCAATCACCCTATCAATGCCGAATAGTCGGAATCTGTCGCACCAACAAATGATATGACAAGCTTTTTATCCTCCTGGCCACAGTACCTACAAAGAGACGACTCCATGAGCCTGAGATGGAACATATGATAATTTAGTTTACAGTGTCCAGTATATGCTGTTGTAATTTTCTTAAGTGAGCCCCTGCTCAAATTAATTAGTAGGTTCCTTCTTTTCTGACAGATTCCTTCCAGGCATAATCTAGAGTGAGTCTGTTTTTTCAAGCACCAGTTCTTTTTAGCTTCAGCACCATAAATCTCCCCAATTCTGTTATTTATTATACACTGACTAATTCCACAGATAGGTTCAGGAGCTATGGGAATCTTTTGTGAGCCTAGTCTGGCTAGTTCATCCGCCATCTCATTACCATGAATTCCAAAATGACCCGAAATCCATTCAATGTTTACCTTATTAAGTCTGGATAAGTCATAGAGAATTCTCACACAATCCTCAACAGCCTTAGATCTAGTTGTACTGTTGTCCAGTGCTCGTATGAACGCTTGACTGTCAGTATATATTGAAATTCTCCTCCTAACTAACCTGTCAAGCAACATTTTTGAGGCACAGTGAGATTGGTCAGCATTTCAGATTGGATCACTGTTGTATAATTGTCGAGTGGTATTGACATGCCTTCCTCTGGTTCATCCTTTCTCTAAAAGCCAGCACCAGATCCGAATGTCATAAGTGACCCATCAGTATAACCATTAATCCCATTAATGGGTTTATATTCTCCTGAGCTGTCTATTTTTACATTATACATCTTTGTAAGAAATTCTCTAGTCTTAAGTGTCAGAATTCATTGTAAGCACCCGTCTTCCTCAATTTTTTAAATTATTTTCCAATGTCCCTCCTGGATGTTTATCTTTGAACCTAAGTTTAATTTTTGTAGCCTGTAAAAAGTTTTAAAGGCCTGCTTTTCAATCTCCAATTGCAGAGGTAATAATAGACCTAACTTCTATGGCTGCAGTCGGAATAGTTTTCATTGCGCCTGTTATCATTAAACAGGCTAATCTCTGTAATTTTTCCAATTGTATCCTGTTGTGGCCCACTCTTGCCCTATGCCACCATACAACAGTTGAATATAAAAGCACAGGTCTAACCGCTGTGACATACAGCCAGTAGACCATCTGAGGTTTAAGTCCCCATGCCTTCCCAACAGCATTCTTACATGCCCAAAGGCATTTTAGTGCTTAATTAGTTGTGTACTCCACATCATTTTATTGTACAGTGTAGCACTTAAGTGTTTGACTTCCTTACTTACTGTTAGCTGGATGTTGTTTATTTTAGGTAGTCTTACTTCTACTCTTTTCTTCTTTGTGAAGATGTTTATGTTGGCTGGGTTGACATTTAATCCACTAGACCGGCAACATCCCTCCAAGACTCCTGTAGAATTCTTCAACAGATCAGAAAGAACATTCCACTGAATTTAGAAAAGAAGATATTTTTCACCTATAAAAATAGCGATGTCACCCGCATATCCTTGTGCATAAAAGCCTGCAGTATTTAGTTTTAAGAGCAAGAAGTCCACCACCAAGCACCACAGTAATGGAGAGAGCACACCTTCCTGTGGACAACCTCCCCCAGGTTTGAGCCACATTACGGCGTATCCTAGTTCAGTTTTTAGAATTCTTGTATCCAACATGTTGCCAATCCATTTGGTGAGAAGTGGATCTATTTTTCTTGTCTTTAAAGTATCCATGATAGTTTTGTAAGGAGTCCTATCGAAGGCACCTTCTATATCTACAAAGGTACCAATCATTATTTTCTTCTGATTCATGGATTTTTCAGTACTTGAAACCAGATTATGTATTGCAGCTTCATATGATTTCCCAGGTTAGTACGCGAATTGATTGAAATGTAAGGAATTAGAATTCACTAGTTGTTCTCTTATATGCCTGTCCAAAATCTTTTCCAGTGTCTTCATTAAAAAAAAGACATGCATATTGGCCTGAATGACTTAGGATCATCATATCATCCCTTTCCAAGTTTTAGAATAAAACACAATTTGGATCCTCTCCATTCTGTAGGAAGGTAACCAAAAGCTATCCTGCCCCTTAATAATTCTAAGAGATAGGGTTTAATTATTGAAAGTCTCTTTTGAATCAGTATTGGTAGGATATCATCCAAACCTGCAAATTTGTAGGGAGACAATGTGTTTCTTGCCCATTCCAGTTTATTTACTGTAACAATAATCCACACTTCTCGATTAGCTGTTTAGCTAGGAATTGTAGTTTCAGTACAAATCTTTTCCATAATCTTACACCCAGGAAAGTGTGGTATTGCCAGTTCTCTCAGGGTTTCAATCTCATTACTAGTATGTTTGCCATTGACCCTGAGTGTTCCCAGTATTCCTTGGTCTTTCTGTTTAGCAAGTATATTTTTTTTTATCCTACTTGCCATAGGAGTGTTGTCATTTCTTAGCAGAAGTTCTTCCAAGACCGTCTTTTTGCTTTCCTCACAGATTTGTGGTATTCTGTGAGGGCGGTTCTGTAAACCACCCTGTTGCCATATCTTTTTGCAGCATTGAACAATCTTCTTTGCCTCTCTAAG